AGCATTTCATTGATGTTACCTACCAAAAACTAAAATGTAACTCTGACGACAGATTAACCCATTTCGGTTATACTTAACGAAGACTACTTAAGTCATATTTGTAGAACTAAAGCCATGACACATCATACTACTTTAAATTCTTTTTTATTGTTGTTTGACCTTTCATGTGGCATGTAAACTGGTCATAGTGAATAAAAGAATTTTGATAAACCGCTCGCATAACCATTAAAAATTAACTGCTATCATTTAAGAAAACTTCGACTTCTGAGTAGTCAAGGATACTGAACCACTCATGTTAAAGATGGTTCCACCTCGTAACACGGTACATAACTTAAAGCACTATCAAGTAACATTCGCTTGATATTGTTTACTTCAATCTTCCCATTAGGGTTTACGACTGCGATTGATCAGTCTCTTATTTGCATATGTGCATACTGTGCGTATTGCCCCTAAATTCCCTTAATTCACAAGCATTCTAGACAAAGATAGGTGGTGGCTATCAGTGGAATAGAGGACGCGCTCTTCGTCCTACTTGGGACTCGTCAGCTGGATATGCTTGGATCTGAGAGTGGAGACTGATCAATTGCAGTCCTAAACATCAATGGGAAGATTCAAGTAAACAATACGGAGTGAATTCAAACTTCACTCCATTGCACAAACTAGTGGCTATCAGGAGTCAGTAGCTAAGTGGATCACGCGATGGCGTTTGAAGCGAACGGTACTGAGTTCGTGTCTCACAGTGAACATCAACTCTGAGATACAGGTACATCCAGCTGACGAGTCCCGAAAAGGACGAAACGCGCGTCCTGGATTCCACTGCTAGCCACTATCCGTCTTTACTAACATGTGGAGTATGTAGACAAAATTTAGAGTTTTATACGCAACTATAGTAGGTTTGAGTAAATTACGGTCAATGAGGTTAATGTTGACAAAGTTCAGATTTTGTAAGGGCTGTTCTATTGCTTAAGGAAATTGACTATGGTTAGTTATTATTTTCGGTACAGTCACTCTATAAACACATCATCTCTGTTAGGCAAATCTTCATTTCGACATCGGTGTTCTGAAACACTGTCTAAAAACACACACTCCTTCAATGCACCTTCAATGTCCGGTTTAGATCTAACAATGAATTCTGGATATGAACTTATGGTAAGCAAAGAGATTCCTACTGGACCCTCTTCTAATGTATCAATTCATGGTCAAGCCCAAGTATATGATACTTATGCAGAAGATACACTGATCACACGTGTGTATTCTATAACAAAAATATCATCTCCATCATCATCCTGAACAAATTCAATAATTGTCATCGTCCAATTACATTTACGTTGGAAGCTAAGGTGATTTTGAAATTTCGCTCCCTTTATTTTCTGTTAAAATTGCCCCAGATGGTCCATCACAAGGGTTCGTACACATTAAATAGAATGATCAATACTTGAATTGTGTATTTCAGTCTCACGGAATAGTTCAGTAATTAACCTCAAGGGCCAGGAGGATATATTTCAAAGACACAATAAAAATAAATTACCCCGACTCAGACAAGAAC